TACGATGACCCATAAACGTTACAGTAGTTCATGAAAACGCCTTTTTAAAACAATATATATCTTTCATTTATGCAAAATCATTATGAATTATTCAAAAAATACATTTACTCTCTGATTCAAATTAAAGACTTAGATTAATATTAGTAACTGACCTGATTAATATTAGTAACTGACCTGATTAATATGGAGTTAATGTCCAGAATATATAACAGTATAAATAGTTCAAATATGGCTGCTGTATGCATGTATATGATATATTACTTGTCTCTGGCAAGGGTACTCAAAAGGTGTGATAAAACTTTGAACTTAATGAATATGAACAATGGAAGGCAAGATAACTGACACATGACTGACTGTCTAAAGAACCAGAAAATAAGAGTAGAACTACTGTACTAAGAAGATATAACATACCATGAAAATAAGATTGCATAAAATAATAGATTGATTAATTGTTGGTTGCTTAACGTTCAGTGGCAAATATTTCATGCATGTTCAGCACGACATAAGAGAATAGAATTGATGAACTTTTAAAATACACATGATAACACTATACTAATTAATATTAATTATTCTGAAAGAAAATAAATATTGATATAAAACACGGATCACTTAAACTTGGCGACCCCAATACTAGAATACCAGTATTGTCGACAATAGTGGTATACAAATTTTGTGCCAGTATTGTATTCCAGTATTGTTCCAGTATTGAATGGTTCTGAATACACTCTTAAGATTCGTAGCGCACTCTTTGTGCTATCGTGAACCATGACTGTAGTTACGAAAACTTTAAAGGAGTTTCTTGTTACTGGCCCAATGCCTACAGAAGGGGTCATAAACTTAATGCTTATATATATATATATATATTTTCAAATTTCGACTTGGATGGAGAGTTGTCTCAATGGCACTCATACCACATCTTCTTATATCTATATAAATAACATTGAACGTTATATTTCTCAAATCAGAGACATTTATAAATGTATCGCCTGGTTTCGGTTTTTACAAGTAGTACAGAATAAGAAGAATAAGAATATTTTATTTCCAATTAAACATGTTAAATTGCCCTACATATATAAAGAGCTTTTATCACATGAATACACAAATACATATGATTAGACATACATAGAGAAATATAAAAGAAAACAACACAGTTTTACAATAACTGTTATATAAGGCCAGGACAGAACCAGATAATACAAATAACATCTATAAAATATACCACTCAAAATAAGTATACTTGTGGCTCATTTGCATTTATTATATATGAATTTCTCCTTATCTCCAGATTTTTAGATAAATACTTTCCCAAACATTTATATACATCTAAATTTTCTTGTGTAAATAGCAATGTAAATTTCGAAAGATTATCTAAAGATTGAAAATTATTGCAGGTTAATGAAAGCATCCAGTAAAAAACTCAGTTCTATTATCAACATATAGTGGGCATTCAGTCACAAAGTGTATCCCATCCTCAACTTTATTCATTTCAATGTTTCTAAGTGTTCTATTCACATACATTTTTGCATATCTATCAGTCTCAATCCTTAATGGATGAGCGGCGCTTATTCTAATCTTAGTACAAAATGTATGACGGAAGTGAATCATTATACATGCAAAATCCTGCTTCCTGGGAAGGGTGGTATAGTGGTAGGGAGAGGGATATGGATTTTTTGAATTAAATAGTTGGGTTCTCAAAAAGAATGGATATGTCCACTGACTTAATAAGTTTCACTATCTGGGAACAAAACCAGAAAGTTTTTAACGTACACCTTCTGGAATTTGAAGTCTATGTAACATACCTTCAACTATGAGGGTGTGAAAGGGGTTTATAGAATGGAGAATAATGGGCAAAAAAAAAGAAAGAATAGAGAAAAATGGACAAAAAATGGGAAGAATAACTGCTAAAATTAAAGAATTGGGTAAAAATATAATGATTACAGAAAAGAACAATGTCCAGAATACAGTTATCAAGTAATAACAGAATAGCCATTATTTTTAAAGATAAAGAACAATGAGCGAACAATAATTAAAGATTACAGAAATGAAGGACCCTAACCATACCCTCACGCATCTTAAATTATAAGGCCTGTATCTTTGATCAAAATAAAATATGTTACTGGTATGGTTGCCATCTACAACAGACTATAGGTCATCGTATGGCCTCCAACAATTAGCAAAACCCAAACCACAGAGTATGCTATAAAAGACCCCGAAATGACAAATGTCATACAGTTTTAACGAGAAATCCAACGGACTGATTTATGATCAAATCAATAAACAAAAATAAATATGATAGACAGCTGTCAACGACAACCACTGAATTACAGGCTCCTGACTTGGGACAGGCACACACAGAATGTGGCAGGGTTGAACATGTTTTTCAAACGCTCAACCCTCCCCTAATCTAGGACAATATGTAGCAGCACAGCATAAGAACCAACTATAAATATCAGTTGATGACTCATCAGATCGAAACAAAGCATGAAGAAAACAAAACAAAAATACTAAAGACACAAAGTAGCGATCTTAAGGTCTCAAAGTTACTGAAAAATAGCTCGAAACCAATTACAACTACCAAATGAATATATGTTTCCAAGAAAAAAACTAAAAAAGTCTTTCTGTGTATGATATACGAAATAGCTACTATTGTCTCATTATAAGTGATTGCTGTTTGACGTTTATATATCTACTACCTTTTCACAGTCGGAAAGCTGAGCCCCAGTATATGTACTTTGGTTGATTGCTAGATTGTATTGTTGAGTTTTTAACGCTGCTTTCGGCCTCTTGACTTCTTGTTTATCATTGCTGCTAGCTTTTAATGGCAGATAAACTGTATGTATACTATCTTTACATGCTGTATGGGAGGTCTTTAAAATCTGTATTCTTTAACATTTAAGGGCAGTTTTCTTTAACTAAAAAAACGCTTTTTTGTGAAATTCTTATGCAAAGTAATCTGTATAGTTAGATGATTTCTTTATTATGCACATCGCTCGTTTCTGATCATTTCTGTAACCAAATATCGTTTTGCACAATTCTTTTATATTCCGCCGTTATTCTATGTACTTTTGATAAGGTATCAATGTAGACCTTATTTTCGGAATTCCACGAATTACTTTTGAACAGATATATCAAGTTAAGGAGGGGTATTTGCGAAAAATACCAGTCGAGAGAATGTTAAATTTCGCGAGCCGTAAGGCGAGGGAAATTCATTCTCAAGACTGGTATTTTTCGCAAATACCCCTCAAGAACATGCTATATCTGTTTAATTACACCGAATGTTAACGTTCAAAAACGCATTGATGATCGTGACGTTACAAGCGTCCAGTCGGATAGAGTATTTTTTGGCAAATACCACGACAGAGAGGGTAAAAAAGGCATATCCTTTTTGCATATACCCCGGGGGGGGTTAAAAAATGAACGATATTCATTTGATAACAGTAAATTGGTGAAAAATACACTGGCTATCAACCAATCAAAACCCAGGATTCTTACATAAGGTGTAATTAATATGTAAACCCCACAACTAAATTAGACACAATATCTTTTCAATTGTATTTGGAAATTCTTCAAAAATAAACCAAGTGAAAGAAAACAAAACAACAGGTACCTTTATAAGTAATCTTTGGTCATGGAGCTGTGGACAGAGAACTCTTAGTTTTTTGTGCTGGTATATCTATATAACTAAATGAATAGAGTTGAAATTGGGTGTCGCGTTTTCTTCTTTCACATAAAATCCACGAATATTGTTTTATACCACAAAGGGGTAACGACCAGCGTAGTTTATTATGTGTTCATTTCAAGATCTTTTGGGGGGTATTTGGGGGTTAAAATCGGAAAAAGCCAGTGCGGATCAACCGTCCTTCACGACGTTCGGCTCTGAAATTTACGTTCCGTCATCCTTTCCGTCATTGCACATCTGCCCGGCGAAATTAAATTTTATTTCGTTTCAGATACAGTTAATATTGACCTTACACTGAAACACTTTGTGATACACATTCCCTTGACGCTCTCAGCAGATTAACAACAGATTTTTACACGTCAAGAGCTTTTCTTTCCGGGGAACCGCCTCAATTCAACATGAAAAGGGTGGGGGGGGGGGGGGGGGGGGTTACTTCAGTTTTCGGTTAAAAATGGGTACCGAAGTGCGGCTGGAATATGACCCACCCGCATTCATATATTAATGCATAAAATTTTCAGCCCACTCATTCATGGGGATGTTTCTGAGCACGGACACACCAGAAATCAGGTGCGGATCCAGGATTAATGTTAGGGGAGGGGGCAAAAATGTTCTGCGGATCGGAGCATGTTGCGAAATATATTTGGGTAAATTAGCCAAAATGAACGTGTCGTCATCATTTCCGCTTTGTCTGCAAGTATTATTGTTTACTCAGCAAAAAGTATACCCTAAAGGGTGGAGGGATTACTTCGGTTTTCGGTTAAAAATGGGTACAGAAGTGGAAAAACTGCTAGAAGTGCTAGACAGATTATTTTTTTTTATACCAAATCAGGGTCAGGATATTTTTTGTAAAAAATCCCAGTCAGTTTTCACTCTATATGTCACCAATTAAAGGTATTTATAAACAAATAATATTTTGATCAGTGCAGTGCATCCAGGGTATAACAATGACATATCCTATGATTAGAACGCCAATAGTTTCTGTCGGGAAGACTATTCTTTTGGGTGTCATATTGAGTTGTGCTATTTCGTCTGTGACACGCTTCAAAAAGATTTAAGATCTTAATATCGCCTTACACCAAAACTATATATTTTTTTTTTTATCTTTATTCCAAAACTATATATTTATATTCAAATTATGAACCAAAGTATATTTCGCGGGTATTATCTAGTTATGTATGTATTCAAATCAGTTTGTTTTTTTTTGTTGTTATTATATGTATTTGTGACAAGTATCTTACGTATATGACAATAGAGAATTTCTTCTTTAATTAAAAATATATCGGGATATCCAATGACTCTGTTCTATAAATATATCTGTGTATGTCGGTTAAAGGCTTTACCTTATGTGTCACTGACTTTGAATAAGTCTTTGTGCATTACATGGGAGACAACTGTATCTTTTTATTTACCTGCTTTCCTGGTGTGAGCGAGAAAGGTCATTTGGATTGTACATAGTCAAAGTAACCTAGTAAGTTGTTTACGTCGATAATTTTAAACCCATAGACTCAAAAAGGGAAATCAATTATCAGAACCTGCAAGAATGAAGAAGATTTGAAATGTTTATGAATATTTGTTAAGAGAATTAACCATTAACGATTTTTTAATTTCAGTTATCTTAATGAATGATATATGAATTTGTAAAACCTAATAAAACATTTAAATAGCGAAAAAGTCATACGAGGTTCCATATAAATTGTTTAATATATCATCTACTTTCGATTTCGATGTATTTACACATTTTGTACTATACATTATAGTATATATTATAAATGCCGTTATTTTGAATGAGTTTTTTTATATGTGTAAAAATAGCCTTCATTATGATGTTAATGATGAGGACCTGGTGGGGTTTACTGAATAGAATATAATATAATGGTCAAAAAATGTAAAATGAAGGACAAAAACATTAAAGAAAAGAGAAAAATAAACAAAGAAATGAAAGAAAAGAAATTTTGTGGTGCTAAAATATGAAGAATAGAGAATGATAGGCAAAATAAATAGAAAAATGGTATGAAAAAAAAAGAATAATGAGGCCCCTCATGGCGGTGTCCAAATAATCTCATAATCACAAATGTTTTGCCAATACAATCACACAATCATTAGTTATTTTTTTAAACACGATAATCAAATAATCAAAAATACAGTCCTAGATCATCAAATAATCAAATAATCATGAAATATTTGGTCCGGTAATCAAATATTCACTTTAAAAACGGCCAAGTAATCACATAATCAAAAACCCAATGAGGTGGTTCAATAATTAAATGAGGGACCCTATCCAGACCGTCAAGGATAGTATATGGTACATGGCTCTGGCATTTGTTTTAATAACTGTTGACAGCGAGTGTTCTTAGATTAGTACCTTGTGTTTTTCTGTTTTAGATTTATTTGTATGATTATTGCCGATCTGATGAGTAAGGATTTTTCCACTTGATATTTTATTAACTGTTATTTTCTTATGTTGTTCTGTTACACCACTGTCACAGGTTAGGAGATTTGAGCGCACACAAACATGTTCTTCTTTATATGCATGTCCCAAGTCAGGAACCTGTAATTCAAAGGGTATGTGTATCGTTGGTTTCTGTCTGTCTTATTTGTTTTTAGTTTGTTGTTTTAAAAATAGATCAGGCCGTTGATTTTCTCTTTTGAAGTGTACCATATTTTGTCTTGACGGGGCCTTTTAGGATTAGCTAACTACTAGTATATAGAATACAGAAAATAAAGGTCATATCTAGACCCTCACTTACTTCTTGTTTCCCTGCTTCTTATACACTATGTATTAATGGAAAAAACTAGTATTCAAATTACACATCACGTTTCATGTTGGTGTTCTCTTTTCGGACCAAGTCCAACCAATGCGATTAGACAACAGCTTAATAATAAAACAGGGTGAAGGTACTAAGAGGGCGTTCAAAGACAATAATTCAACTAAAACCAGACTCCCCCCCCCTAAAAAAAAATCACCCCCCCCCAAAAAAAAAAAAAAAAAAAAATAACACAAATAGGCAACCACACTCCACAAAGCACTACACAAAACACCACAGGTTGAGCAACACGACTCCCCTAAAAATTGGAAAGAAATTAGCTAGTTGCACCGTACATGTAAAAAAACATGTAAGTATTCAATAGTGACAAGAGTTGTGGCCTAATAAGTTCAATATATATGTAGTCATCTGTGACACAGATATCCAATAACGACCAACCAAATCATGTTAGCGTCCATTAATCTTTCGATTGATTGATTTATTTGGTGTTTAACGCCACTATCAGTATTATTGGCTATTTAGTGGCGGTCAGTTTTTATTGGTGGAGGAAGTAGGAGTGCCCGGAGAGAACCACCGACTTTCGACAGGAAAACTAATTATTCATAGTCATTTAAGATTGAAGTCGAAGGTACCTGCCACACTCACAACCTCATTGTTGACTGGTTAGTGATACCGTGGTTAGACTACTTAGACCACTCGGCCACCGAGGCTCCATTAACCTTTCGAAGGATTAATTCAATTTTGACATTTTTGAATGAACTCGTGGTTCAATAGTTTCATTGTAAGCAGCAACCCTCTATCAAGGAGATCATGATAGGAAACGTAAGCCCTGTAATATCGGTTTAAAGGGGCATTAGCTACGAGATATAAAAAAATAAATAAGATATGATTTTTGTTTTGTTCAATCATTAATGAAAGTGAAATAGTGAAATAATAATTCGCTTTTAGAAGCCAGTTTGGTTCAATTTTGTCAAAATAAGCTAAGAAACATCGCTGGTGAATTATTCACTTGCGAGTGAATAATTTGACCTCATTCATCCGTTTTCATGTGACCTTCGATTTAACCCCTTAGCTAATGATGGGTTACGCATGAATTAAATTATTAAAGTCAAGATTGAAAGTGAAACAAGGGCAAACCATTTGATTGACTGATTCGATCCACAAAAACTCATCCTTATACAGATAAAAACGATGATTAACATATATTTTTAACCTATAATATGAAATCAAACAGATCTAGAAAAATCCAATTGCACGTGTTCGCTATCTATTTATATCTATATTTATGTTTATATCGGGTTAAATGACCGTCGGCAGTCTTCGGAGGTCACCTCGATAGTTATTTAGATGGCGTCTAGACTAAAATATACACGAAATTCTGATACATATTATCGATCCCATGCATTGTTAATTGTTTATTTTAGACTTTTTATAATTTGGATATACGTTTTAGTATGTTATAAATCAAATATGAGAATTTGAGTCAAATCGGTGAACATGAATTTGACAGCTAATGCCCCTTTAACTGAGAGACATACATCTCATGCGCTGGCACTGCTGGAATGTTGCTACACAGAAAAAGGTAACCGTTATCAAAATGGGAGCACTGGCATCAGCTCTTTTGTCGGAAAGTTTAATTATGAGGGTCCTTCAATTCTGTTTTCTTTAATGTTTTTAGCAATTTTTCTCTATTCTTTATAAATTTTGCACATTATTCTCTATTTTTTCATATTTTAGCACTCCGTTATTCTCTATTCTTTATATTTCAGCACTCCGTTATTCTCTATTCTTTATTGTTCGGCCTATTTTTTTCCTATTGTGTAAACCCCACCCAGACCGTCAGTTATCAACCGTCCCTCGTTGTCAATTTCTAGATGTAAGCCTGACGTAACAGTGGTGCATGCTTTTACTTCCTAAATATCACTATATCATTTACCCAGGGTTCGAACCCGGGACCTCTTGCACAGTGACACAGTAAGCAACCTCTCCATAACTGAGCTAAAGGAATACGATTTACCTCCTAACACATGCTATTATCAAATGTGATTATTACATATAAATTGAGGATACAAGCAATTAAATGTCGAAGAATGAATCAGTATTTGTAATTGTCAAAAAAAAAAAAAAAAACAACAACCAAAAAACACGACAAAAAATCCTCCCCTCCCATCCCCCCAAAACTTGAAACACCTTGAACAAGGTATGCATATTAAATGTTTGTCTGCACCTTATTACAGATGGCTGAACCAGAGGAAAAGGTAGACTGGCAAGATGGCAAATCACTATCAGAATGTATGATGTACATGTTAGAGAAGGACATTATGTGTGACGTCACTTTCCGTGTTGGAACAGACGATCAAAGCATTATCAAAGCGCACAAGTACATGTTGGCTAGTCGGAGTCCAGTTTTTTATACCATGTTTGAAGGTTCTTGTCCCGAAAAGGGAGACATCATCGTAACAGATATAAATTCAGCAACATTTAAAGTTTTGTTGAAGTAAGATATATATATGTAGATTCTACCACTGCATTCTCCACTCGAGACAGCTAAATTGTCAAATTTAAATGTCGAGAGTGGAGAAATATCGTATTGCACGAGAATTGGTGGTGGAATCTGTTTCTCTAATGATTTTAAGACAAAAGTTTAGACAAACTTATTCCTTCTTTTAAATTGATTTGCAAAAATGTGTGATCTTTCTATGTGACGTCATCAGGTATGGTCGCCTTTTTTTGACGTCACAATATAAAATTCAGAAAAAAATAAGAATATTTGACGTCATGATTGACTTGTGACCGATGAAAATCTGAGATCAAACGAACCACACGTTGATTAAAAAAAACTATCCAACAGGACAGGAAAAGGACAAATTGGCTAAGTATTAGAGAACTCAGTTTATAATAATTCTTCATATATGTATATATATTTTTACTTTTCTTGAAAAACAAAAAAAAAGGTCGCGTTTCCTCGGAAAAGAAAAACCCATGCAATTTAGAAACTGAATTATGCAAGAAAAAAGATTTTGGTATACTTCGATGAGACAGCAACCCAATTACGCAAACAATGTCTAAAGATCAATAAAGAGGCCAACACAAGGTCTTCAACAAAAGACAAGCGTACTAAATCGCGTCTGGTATAGTAAAGCTCTGAATAGATTTGAGGTCTGCCATTAATACAAACTTAACGAAATCACAAAACTTAGACAACCGCTGACAAGGTTTCTGACAGAGAAATAAATAAGCTGGATAGTTTATTTTTTTAGATTTTTTTTAGATTTCAAAGCTCACTTTTATAATTCTCGGTCAGAACTACATCAACAAACGTAAATTAAGTGCCAATCTGATTGAGAATCAGGTAGTGGTGAAAGCATGACAAACAAAAACCCACTCAAATGACATTTATTTATATTCAAATTGTAAAATGGTGCACGAACATAACATTCGTTTCCTTTTCCTGTTCTGATAATTCAAGATATAAATTGGTTGAAATGCACTAGAAATTAACAATTAAGGGGAGCTAACTCTGTAATTTGCTATCATTCTCACCAAAAGTTACCTAGAGATTTCTCGAATTACCAGACAAGCAGAAACGAAAGACCTACCATTTCTAACTCAGGATAAGGGTAACTTCAAAATAGGATGGTTAGTTCGATGGGTTTCTTTCGATCATGTTTTGAAAGTTTTCTAAATTGCATGAATCTAACACAGACTGGCACTTAAAATCTACACAGATAACACAGATAGAATAATGATAAAGCACACAATGTATTTGTTTTTGTTGTTGTATTTAATGCCATTTTCAGCGCCTTTGACTATATCATGGTGGCAAACTTTTACTTATTGGGGAAGCCGGAGTACCCGGAAAGAACTGCTGACCATCGGCAGGAGAACTGGCAATCCTTATCAATTACTATAGGAGTCTAACACACTCTCCACGTTCGGGTTCGATCTCTCACAACCTTAGTGGTCAATATGACGAACTACTTTAAACACTCGGCCATCGAGGCGCCTTCAAAAATAGAACGTATAATAAAATCGTCACAAAACAAAGTGCTGGGCTTAAAACTATAGCTAAACATATACATGTTTAATACGCTTGATTCCCATCGTTATCTTTCAATCAAAGTGTTTGTTTTAGGTGACGTTATTTGTGCGTTTGTTGGGCATAAAATCTTCGTCAGTATGTTGAGCTAAGGGATGAATATTCGAATGGGGATAACTTCCTTATGACTGCGTCGATAACTGTTTTTAAATGATAAAATTGATATATTTCTTTAGGCAGGGTTGGATTATGTTTATAAGAATAAAAACGGGTGTTTGAAAAATGTCAAGCAGTTACAATTACTTTATCAGTTCAAAGATACAGGGATCCAGTTAGCCCATAAAACGTTTAAATGACGTGAGAAATCAGCTAAAGTAAAAAAGTATTTCTGGTAATGGAAACGATATGGATCAAACGTATTGGATTATTCATGTACATAAATGAGGGTCTGAATGGGAGTCTTTCTTACTGTTTTGTTTAATTCTTAAAGTTGTTATTCTGTATTCTATATATTAAAGCACCCTGTTATTCTCATTCTTTGGAAACTTTCTCTATTTTTTTGGCCCATTACTAGTATTCTCTATTATGTTAACACCACACAGACTCTCATAAATAAGCGAGACTTTGTTTCTTTCTATACAGGTATATTTATTCAGATGTACTGGATCTTTCACTTGACAACATTCAAGAAGTACTTTATGTTGCCGAAAAGTATATGCTATCAACAATGAAAGATGAATGTACGAGTTTGCTCTTATCATCTGTTGAAACATCGAATGCTCCTGGGGTATTTAATGTTGCGTCCCATTTCCACCTTGAACATCTCAAAATCAAAAGTCTCGAGCATATTCAAAAAAATGCAGCTGAATGCCTAATAGCGCCAAATGCTATTAAAATGTCCAAAGAATGCATGGAAGCTATCCTGAGATTGGATTCAATATATTGTTCTGAAACAGACATTTGCCGATTTCTTATAAAGTGGGCAAGTCACCATTGTGAGACAGAGAGTAAAACGGCTTCTGGTGAAAACTTGCGAGAAATTACTGGTCCCTTACTGTATCTGGTCCGGTTTCCTCTAGTTGACAAGGAGTATTTTGCAAATGAGATTGCCCATTCTGGTCTGCTGAATTCGGAAGAAGTCATAAGTGTGTTTTCTTCCCACTATGGTAGGAAGAATGGATTTTTTGCAGAGTCAGTCCGAAATTCAAAATTATGTTACAAGAAAGATTGCACGGTTTGGCGCCATAGATCTGTTGCGAGTACTTGGTATCAACACAGTGGTAAAAAGTATGATGCTTTGAATGTAAAAGTGAATAGGAACATTGAACTTAAATCCGTGATTTTATTTGGTCCAGTTGGCAATGTATCTAGCTCTGCTAGGGAAATTACTGTCAAGATTCTAAATGATAGCGGGAATGAAATATTTACTCAAAAATATGAGAGCTGTACCCAGAGTAGTGAACTACAAACTGTTCTTTTATCAGAACCCATTCCAATAAATGCCAATGAATTATTCACTATAATGGTAGACAGTATAAAATTTGATGCATATTATGGTAAACAATGTAAACCAAAATGCAGAATAGATGATATAGTGATATCATTTGAAAATTCACCAAACTGTACCACTGGTACAAGTGTAGAACAAGGTCAAATTGCAGGGATAGAATTCAATGCATAATATTGAAATTGACATTGAACATTATGATGGATGACTTTTAAGAATTCTTGTCTTATTTTTACTTCATGGATTGACAAGTGCCAAATGTATATCTGGGATTAATTAAAATTTATCTTCATAATTCATAGCTCTGATTACTCGTCCGGGTTTTGCTTAACTATTTAGTTACTGTGTTTGATCAGAGTTACTGTGTTTAATCAGAGTAACTGTGTTTGATAAGAGTTACTGTGTTTTATCAGCTTTTTAACATTTGTATAAGATTTTGGATTGTTAAGTATTATATTATCATCGATCATCATTGAAGAAAAATTGATAGTCGAAATGCATATATGATGCAGTAAAATTGGTGCTATAAATGTTACAAGAGGAAATTCCATCGATTTATATCGATATTTTATCGATGGATGTTATATCGATATTTTATCGATGGTTGTTACATTCTAATAAATCCATTCAGAAATCAAGGTAAAAAGTCAAGACTACTCGAATAGACCACTTTCGAGTTCGTTGCATTTCCGGCAAACACTTTGGTTTTAGTAAACAGCATGCGTGCGTTTAGGGGCATCGTCACTTCCTTCCCATGTTGAGCGTGCGGTTGAGCAAATATAATGCTGTATTGCACGAACTTTTCGGAAAATTGAATTCTTATAATTGATAATCAGCACTGCTGTCATCAGGGAATTGTGACTATGTACCTACGGAACAAACATGATTTCTAGTTTATCCTGCATAATGACGATCACGAAGACGCTTGATGAACTTTAACAGTGCAGGGATACAGGCGATCCCCTCTATCTGGTAAAAGACGTCATAATTGACGAACTTTTCCGATGAAGGACATATCGAGCCCCGCCTGCGTTTACATTTTTAACGTTTCGTGCTAAAAAAGAAGGCCGTACGGTGACCTATTATTGTTAATTTTTGTGTCATTTGGTCCCTTGTGGAGAGTTGCATCATTGGTAATCATACCACTTCTTATTTTTATATATAAAGCAATTTATAACATAACGTATAAAATGAGGTTTGCCACTTAGTGGTTAAACAATTTATCTTTAACAGATTATGTATATGAAAAGTCAGAGACACTCTTTTAGCTTGTGATTGGTCAGTTAAAAAAAGTATTAACAAAATACCGAACTGTAAGATAAGTTCAAAAATGGGGAGGTCCCTAAAAAATGACAAAACTAAAAATATTTATAATATTCCAGGCTTGGTTCAGGCATTTCCCGAAGAAAATGGTGGCATAAATCTAGTTTTATCGCTAGCTTAAGCTCCCATTTGGAAGCCAGTTGTCATAAAGCCCGGCATTGGCGTAGCTTACATTGAGGAAACCCAGTTGCCTCGATAAAAAAAAAAAAATTATGTATAATCTTTTAAGCGATTTTGACCTAATGAAGCAGACTCGCTACTAAACGGTAATATACTGACTTGTATCTTCTTGATGCCACTATTGATTCATACCCTTTGCAAATTCAAGACTTATGGAAAAGTTTCCCTCCCCTAGTTGGAAACCCCCTTTGCGGTAGTTTTCTGTAATCTCAATATGTCGGAGTAAGCAAAATCAACACAATTGAAGTCGATTTATATAATCCTACCATATTGCAAGCAAAGTCAGTAGAATAGATGATCATCCAACTCACGAGTCTTCCCCGATCGAATCACTTGACCATTGAATCAGGTAAATTATTTAATTTTGTGTCAGAATAATTTCTAGTATATGAGGTTTATAGAAAATAGAAACATATCCTGAAATTAATTTTTAAAGAATAGAGATTTAAAATGGTGCTAAACTATAAAAGAAAGGAAAATCAAGTTATGGGCGAAAAGAATTAAAAATAAATATTAAGACCCCCATTCAAACCCTTATAACGGTAACGTCTAAAATTGAAACATTGTTGATCGTTTACATTTTCCGCTACATCTAGTTCTTCAAGTACACAGAGTTTCATTGACTTTGGTACCAATCAACATGCACAGAAAATAATTTATATGTTGCGGTTCTCAAGTTGTATTCTCGCTATTTTAAATTTATAGTTTTTCACTAGCATGGAATTAAAAATGTTAAAAGGAGTCACTAATTCTAGAGAAATATATATTATATGTCAGTTAGTTCATACGTAATGTCAGTTTATATATAAAAATTTCAACCAATGCTGTTTTCATTTATCATGAGGACGTCAGAATAACGTAAATGCTAGTACTTCGCCGATTGTCATTTTTACAATGGGAATAAGTTCAAAACCCTTTAAAAATTTGAAGACCATCCAAGAAATACCAGGACGAAATACAACCAATACAAGTGCCATGGTGCACTTGACATGTAGCATATATTTATTTCCTAGTTTATCAAGAAATTCTGATGTTCAATCAGTCCGTCGTTTTGTGTTGATTATCTATTAATTGATTCGTGACCCACGACCAAGCGAGTAAATGATCATTACAAAAATCATTTTGAATTTAATCGTTGCGTTTGTTTTTCTGCATTGAAAATTCTGTAAAAGTTTCTTCTGGCCATCGAACAAGGTCCTGTTTTCCTTCTTATATGACGTTAAATCTTATGTCACAGTTAGGTACAGCCACCTATATTAGAGTGTACGACGGCTTGAAAATATATCGGCAGATTAGGCATTTGAGCTGGCTTTCAGTTACTGCTAGCAAGTCAGGAAACTTGCCAGTGGTTGTCTTATTTGATATCTTCACATGTTTTGTTATTCTAATAACTTTGAGATGACTGTATATTAGATAGTATCGGTTTAAATCATACACAACTTTATACTTTATATTATACTTATATTATAGACTCAGTCAGGACAATTTTGAACTTGACATATCTATCTCCTTTATTCGTAAGAATTTTAAATCTGGGAAGTTCACTGAAAGGATTCGATTCGAAAAAAGTGGTAAATGCTTTTGAGAAGATTTATGTATGCATCTGTACATTGAAAATGATGCAGGTACCAGTAATCAACTAATACATTTGTAGTTCAACTTAGTTGAAAGAATATTAACATTATTATGATGAAATAAATTAAACAGCAGCTACTATTTTAATAACTTCTTCGATCTTGTTCAAATTGTAAAAACCTCGATAGCTTGTAAAGGGCTGCGTCCCCAGACCCCCTGCCTCAGAAGGCAAGCTACACCTTAATTTTAGGGATAGAAACTGCTAGTAATTTGCACTGTCCTTGATGTGCTATGTATTACTCCAAGCTGGTAGAACACTCTTTTACAGCAATCTATCCATATTATTTTTTGATCAACTAGAAAAAACTTTAATCTATAGATTTCGAAAGAATAAAATTTCATCATTCTCAAAATAATATAAAGATTTTAAGAATCCCATCAATAATTTGTTTTCGAAGTTAAGTTATATGGAATTTGATGCGACTGTCATACAAGTGAGAGGTTTTATTTAGCTAACTATAAAACCAGGTTCAATCTACATAAGAAAATGCCTGTACCAAGTCAGGAATATGACAGTTGTTGTCCATTCGTTTGGTGTGTTTGAGCTTTTGATTTTGCCATTTGATTGGGGACTTTTCTTTTCTGAATTTTCCTCGGAGTTCAGTATTTTTGTGATTTAACTGTTTTTTAATATCCTGTTGGTTGTAATAATTTGGTTGTGCTTATGATTTATTGCTATTTCAAGCAAAATAATATTACACTTTTCATTTATCTAATTTCCAGGTGAAACAAGGACAGTCGTTTGGATTGAATGCAACGTTAACAGTAAGATGACTTTTAAGAAGATTTCTTACTTTTTAATTTTATCAATAGACATTAATAAAAAAAAAGTAATAGCTTATCGAAATAAAAAAACCTATTTTGTTATATTTACGTATGATAAGATTTGTCTATGACATAATCTAAATACACTTTTAAAAAATAAAAAAAAAATATGTTGGATCATCTTTCATTTCGGGTTCCATAAACCGTTTTTTTTTATATGCTATATACTTTCGGTTGCAATTATTGCACATTTCTTTTATGTCATTTAGTATCATTTTGGAAAGTCGCTAAGATTGAATGCAACATTCATGATAAATGAACTTCTCAGATGATTTTTTCCTTTTTGTTTATATAAAAGTAATAGTATATCAAAATCAGACAATTTAGTTTGTTAAAACTAAGATTTTTCATCCCCCAGTCATAGTAGGGATAGCAAGTAAACAAAATTTTGACAGGTTGACCCTAATATTTGGCACCACAATAATAAATCAACCGATAATACACATCACTCTCTCTTGGTGTGTGCGGAGGTAGGTAAACAGATTATACCAGTACACAGTATGTTTGTCACTGCGAACGTAGCTATTTGAGAAGTAAATTGTCACTGACATCATAAATACAATTGCCTTTATATCTTTAGCAATTGCTGACATTAAGCAATTGTATATTAACAAATGTAACTGTGTCACGATTGGGAAGAATAAAATTACATATTGTTTCCAGTTTATAAGTTCAAGTTTTTAATAATTGTTTATTTTATATATTCAAAACACATAGAATGACAGTTTATACAGAATAGGAATATGCAAAATCTTATTGAGAAAAAAATCAGAATAACATAAATTTAAAATAATAAGCTGAGGTATGATTGCAAACGAGACAAATATCCAACAGAGATCAAATGACATAGATGATAGCAACCATACGACCCTCAACATTGAGCTTAATCCTTATCGAAAAGTAAGCAATAACAAAACCTATTTCAATAATTGCGAATAAAGGTTTCACTCTAATAGTAAACAGGATAAACTTTTACGTATATAATGGGACACACAGCAAGCCAGATTGCAGAATAGATGATATAGATGTAACGTTTGAATACTCATCAAAATGTAAAACTGATAAAAATGAGCAACAAGGACAAATTGCAGGAATAGAATTCAGTGCATCTCATAAATAATCTAAATTATATTCACAATGTACATATTGACAATTCAAGTATTTTTTATGTTTTATTTTGCATCGTGTCTTTAAAAGCTGATAGATATAAGGTAGGAGTTTGCGTTCGCTTCTATTAAAACAAGCATGCGTCCGAAGCGCTATTCTGGATTAACCTTCACTAGGAACGCTCATAGCCAAATAGTTAAAATCAAAGGATGAATGAGATCTAAA